GCCTGACACAAACTGGCCAAATGGATCGCCTTCTGGTACAGCGTCAACCCGATACTCCAAATTCGCCGGCCAAACAGGCCAACGGCGTGCTAAGATCTCGGGTAAGAGATTCTGAGTGTTTGTACATGACTGGATTGCACGGGTGGGGCGGCCCCTGGGAGTCCCTGGACGACAAATACCCCAGGCTTATAAGTGAAGCGCGCTGGACTCGGGTCAGAGATGGTGTTCGGTCGCCTTCGCGGCCCTCAATAGCATTATGTCGCCCCGGAGCAGGCAAACTATTGAAATCTGGGTGGTGTGCACCATTTGGAATCAGTATGAACAATTCGTAAAACTGCGAAGTGGACGAAATATGAATGTGAGTTTGGCCTGGTTGTGAAAGTTGAAAACGGAATGCCCGGATTAGGAAGTTTGGAACGTTTGAAACAATTGGGAAGAAGTCTTCACAAGTACGCCTGGATTCGGAAGTATGACAAACATGAGTAACATGAACAAGCTTGAAATCAAGTTTGAAAGAGGTACACCCGTATCTGGAAGTATGAGAATATGATAACAAAACATACGCCCAGATCTGAAAGTTTGGGAAAGTTTGACAAGCATGAAAAAGTCCAAAGCAGATGCCCGAATATGAAAGTAGGAAGTTTGAAAAGTGTGCCTGGGTTTGGAAGGATGAAGAAAGTTGAACATGTTCCCCCTGATTTGGAAATTCAAAAAATGAAGTCTAAATAACAATTCGGGAAAATGTTGAACAAGTTTGGACCTTGGATTCGTTTTCCCCTATACGTTTTCCTGCTTCCATGGTGTCCTGTGTCTCGCAGTCGCACTCGTACTTCCGCTCTGCTTTGATTTTGCACTTCTGGCACACTTCGAAGATCCCGCCCCCAGTCACCGGTTGGCTTGCCCGGGGCGACATAAGCAATAGCGCTCCAGGAGCGCTCCACGGGGCCTGCAGGAGAGCCCGAGGGGGTCCGACGCGTGCCACGAGCGTGTCCCAACGGTGTTTGCCAAGTTTCAGCGCTCTCGCCTCTTCGGCCGTCCGGTCCGACGCTCCAAGACGGCCAAAGGGGCACCCGAGATCGCCTCAAGGCAGCCCGAGAGGACCCCAAGACGCCCCAAGAGGCCCCCGAGAGGGCCCTGGAGGCCCACAAGAGGGGCCCCAGAGGGGGGGACCCAAATTGAGAACCTTTCCCCCGCAGGTGGCCCCGAGACTGCCAGAACGCCTCCAAGAGGCCCCCAAGAGGCCCCAAGAACCCCAGAGAAAAGGCCCCAAGAGGCTCCCGACAGGCCCCACGAGGCCCCAAACATGTCCCCGAGAGGATGCAGGCAAGCGCCAACGATGCTGCAAGATGGGCCGGCGGAGTGAGCCAAGCAACTGGATAGTGGGAGAGCCTTGGCAACTGGGCAGCATGCAAAAGCCGATACCTCTCCAAAAGCTCCTGGGGAGATAGATCTGTGTGCTGATAGCCTCCGTCCGTCCTCTGTCGCTTGTGAGACTGCGCTGGCTGGCCTTGCGCGTCCCAGAGCATCAGCAATTCTTCGCCCCCCGAAGTAGACACGATCCTCTTCCCGTCTGGGGAAAAGCAGCAACACCAAACCGCACCACCGTGCCCGCTCAAGGTCTGCTGCAGAGCACCGTCCCTCGCGAGCCACAGCTTCAAAGTTTTGTCAAACGACCCAGAAAGAATCCGCTTCCCATCCGGGGAGAAGCAGCAACACCAAACCGCACCACCGTGCCCGCTCAAGGTCTGCTGCAGAGCACCGTCCCTCGCGAGCCACAGCTTCAAAGTTTTGTCACCAGACCCAGAAAGAATCCGCTTCCCGTCTGGGGAGAAACAACAACACCAAACCGCATCGCCGTGCCCGCTCAAGGTCTGCTGCAGAGCACCGTCCCTCGCGAGCCACAGCTTCAAAGTTCCGTCACCAGACCCAGAAAGAATCCGCTTCCCGTCTGGGGAGGAACAACAACGCCGTGCCCGCTCAAGGTCTGCTGCAGAGCACCGTCCCTCGCGAGCCACAGCTTCAAAGTTTTGTCAAACGACCCAGAAAGAATCCGCTTCCCGTCCGGGGAGAAGCACAACACCAAACCGCACCACCGTGCCCGCTCAAGGTCTGCTGCAGAGCACCGTCCCTCGCGAGCCACAGCTTCAAAGTTTTGTCAAACGACCCAGAAAGAATCCGCTTCCCGTCCGGGGAGAAGCAGCAACACCAAACCGCACCGTGCCCGCTCAAGGTCTGCTCCAGAGCACCGTCCCTCGCGAGCCACAGCTTCAAAGTTTTGTCACCAGACCCAGAAAGAATCCGCTTCCCGTCTGGGGAGAAACAACAACACAAAACCGAATCGCCGTGCCCGCTCAAGGTGTTCCCCGCGGAAAAAGCCATCGGTCGCAAGCAACCTCTGCAGTCTTGGGCTAAGATAGCTACGGGCAGATTCATCACCCAGCTTCGTCTTGCGCCGAGCCCGACCCCATTGCCACTCTGCCTGCTGTCGGCGCCTGCGCCCCCCCCTTGCCGCATCCCCTCCACGACCGACCGTGCCACGCCGCCTGGCGGAGCCATGTGCGCATGGGGACAGGCGAGCGTTCCTCCTCCTCCTCCTCCTCCTCTTCCTCCCCCTCCTCCCCCTCCTCCTCCTCCTCCTCCTCCTCCTCCCCCTCCTCCTCCTCCGCCTCCTCCCCCTCTTCCTCCTCCTCCTCCTCCGCCTCCTCCTCCTCCTCCTCCTCCTCCTTCTCCTCCTCCTCCTTCTCCTGCACCGCTCGCTGCACAACGCGAGCGTGCCCCGCGAACTCCCAGGAGCCCGGCCAGGCGGGACGGAGGAGCAGCGACACCAGCCCAAACCGTCTTCAAATGAACATGGGGCAGGGGCCCCGAGGGGCTCCGGTGGGCGCGGCGTCGCTCTCTTCCGAGGCCTTGGGGGGGGGCATCGTGGATCTCCCCTGCCCGGGGTGGTCCTGCCTGCTGGTGCGGCCTCCTCCTCCTTCTCCTACTCCTCCTCCTCCTCCTCCACCTCCTCCTCCTCCTCCTCCTCCCTCCTCCCTCCTCCCTCCTCCCTCCTCCCTCCTCTCTCCTCCTCCTCTCTCCTCCTCCTCCTCCGCCTCCTCCTCCTCCTCCCCGTTCCTCCCGACCACGAGACTCCAGGCGACGTCGAGGCAGCCTCGGGCCCCCAGCGCTCAACATCACAAGCGCCACTGTATGACATGCACGGGCTCGTCACCATCGAGATTCGGATGAGAATTCTCATGGGGTGTCGCACCGCCACCAACTGGGCCTCGATGCAAGACCATATCAAGTTGTAGTACACGAATCTACCCTACCATCTACCCTACTCTACTCTACTCTGCTCCACACTACCCTACTCTACTCTACTCTGCTACTCCTACTTTGTTCTACTCTACACTCTGCTCTACTGTACTGAACTCTGCTCTACTGAACTCTGCTCTACTCTACTCCACTCTACTCTGCGTACAATGTTTAACGATTGTTGGGCGATGATTTGGAGACCATTGAGATAGCAACAGGAAGCCATTGCAAGAACAGAAGAAGCAAATGCAATAGCAGAAGGAGCACATGCAATAGCAGAAGAAGCCTTTGCAACCGTTTAGGGCAAAATAGGGGGAACCAGTGGACCAGTTAGTTCTCTATCCATGGACCAAGGACTCCCATAAGCAAGCCTCTTTGGAGAGTATCGTCGGATATCTTGGCTTTCGCGCCACATCTGGGGCCTCCGGCCGCCGTTCGGGGCGATCCTGGCATCCCCGGAAGGCCCTCGGCGAGGCGCAGCCGCTGGGAAGCGTCCCGAGGCGAGAAAACTTCCAGGAACCAAAAAGATTCTCCAGAACTCCCAGACTCTCACAAACTGGGCACTTGCATTGCGCATGCTGGGGCATGCCTGGGCACTCTTGGTAGCCTCTCGGAGCTTATTGGAACAATGCTTAGGTCGCTTTGACTAAGTAGGCTTCTGTACTATCTCGAGAGCTTCTCAGAGCTTCCGTGGAGGGGCATATTCAATAGGATGCGGGAACATGCCTGACGAAATGGGTCTCCCTTGTGGCCTCTTCAAAGCTTGGGAGGACCCCATAAGCGCCCCAGTAGCGGCCTAAGAGGGGTTTCACGGGTTCCTGGAACAAATGATCCCCGAGCCCTCTAGCGCAACTTAACACGAAGCCCCCCCCCCCGGGCCCTCTTGGAGCCGCCTTGCAAGCCTCAATCGTTTCCATCGGGGCCTTGGGAAGACCACACAAATATTGAACCTTCACGCATACACGCACGTGTGTGTAAATGTAGTTGTACACATTAATCCATATATATAGATAGGTATATCGGTATAAGCAGGTGTATTCACGTACATCGACGCGAACATGACGGCACACACGTGTACACACCACACTTTCAACCATGCACAACTGCACACATACTAACATGACCACCTGCACACTCACACACATACACACATATATATATACATACATATAGATGTATACATATACACATATATTTACACATATATATATACATAATGCATGCATCCATACACACATACATGCGCGCACACACAGACACACGTGCGCGCAAACGCACACCCGCACGCATGCACACACAAACGCACACACACACAACACACACACACACATCACACACAACACACACAACACACACAACACACACAACACGCACAATACACACACCGCACACAACACACACAGCGCACAACACACACAACACACAACACACACAACACACACAACACACACAACACGCACACACACAACACACAACACACACAGCAGACACAACACACACAGCACACACCACACACAACACACACACAGCACACACATAACACACAACATACAACACACACAACATGCAGAGACACACACACAGACACACAGAGAAACACAGAGACACACAGAGACACACACCACACACACACACCACACACAAACCACACACCACACACAACACACAACACACAAGACACACAACACAGCACGCACAGCACA